AACTTCTTTTTGATTCCATGGCAAAGATGAGCTAAAGACAAGGATTGTAAGTAAATCAACATACCTTAACTCAAATCTAAGGTTTGTCCCTTGATTTACTTCAAAATCCCTAGCTTTGTCTTCCACTCTCTCTAACTCACTCTCTAGAGCTCTCAAGCAACAATGAAGAACAATACGGCTAAACCCATATATGACCAAACTCATAAAACATGATTTAATCATTACGAATCATAATTTTTCAAAATTTCATTGTAAGCTCTATAAATCATGCTAATCACATATATGAAGTCGACTTTTTCTTATCGTGCCTCTAAAGCTTTCAATTTCAGTTCAAAGTTTCAATTACAACAAATATTCCTACTATCAACAAATATATTTTCAAATTCACATATTTTCTATACTTAAATTTGCAAATTTATATCAAATACATAATCACATACATAATTAAGCATAGTACGGATTGGGTTATCACAGCGTAGTAGACGAGTTTGACTTGCATTTTGGCGAGTCCATCGGTTCGGCCACTTTGTTCATTGTAGTTGCACAACCTATTCTAGTTAACCAAGTTATAGAAGCACAACAGAATGATCGCGAAGTGGAATCTATCTGAGGGAAAATATCTAGTGGGAATGTAGAAAAGGGCTTGAATGTTTATCTTGTCTCGAGTGTGAGGTATCTAGGCTGTCTTTATGTGTCAGAATCTTATAGAATGGAGGTACTCCGAAAGTTTCACAATTCTCGCCTTGCGGTACATCCAAGAGCCATGGAGATATATCTCGACCTTAGTAGCTAGTTTTGGTGGAGGGGGATAAAGAGAGATGTAGCATTGTTTGTTTTGAAATGCCTTACTTGTCAACAAGTGAAGGCCGAGCATAAACGACCAGCGGGTTTGTTGCAATCCTTACCTATAGCTAAGTGGAAGTGGAAGCATGTCATGATAGATTTTGTTGTGGGTCTTCCGAGGACTTAACGGGGTAATGATGTCATATGGGTAATAGTCAACTGGTTAACCAAATCAACATACTTTGTACCTATGCGCATGAGTAACTTGGTAGATTATCTCGCCAACCTATATATTAGGGACATACTTGGTAGATCATGGGGTCTTAGTGACTATCGTCTCGGATAAAGATCGACGTTTCACAGTTCGGTTGTGGCAGAGCCAACAAAATGCCTTGGGCGCTAGGTTGGTATTTAGCACCGCCTATCATCCTCAGACTAACAAACTGTCCGAGCACACCATTCAAATTTTAGAGGACATGCTTTGGACTTGCATTCTCGATTTTAAGGGGTCGTGGGAGAGGCATTTACCCTTGGTGGAGTTTGGCTTTAATAACAGTTTTCAGGCAAGTATTGGCATGACACCTTTTGAGGCCCTGAATGGTCGACCGTATAGATATCCCGTGTGTTGATACACTTATGTTAGGTCATGAATTAGTCTGGGAAACGACAGAGAAGGTTGCAATTAATTTGTAAGAGGTTGGTTTCAGCTCAGAGCCGTCACAAGAGCTATGTTGACCGTAAGGGGAGGCATTTGTCTTTTGAGATAGGAGATCATATGTTTCTTAAAATATTGTCGAGACGGGGTTTGATGAGATTTGGAAATATTAGGAAGTTGTCTCTTAGATTTATTGGGCCCATTGAGATACTAGAGCAAATTAGGGAGGTAGCTTATCGTTTGGCCTTGTCGCCTTAACTTTTCAAGGTTCATGACATATTTCATATCTGTATGTTCCGGACATACAAACTTGATCCTTCACACATGTTGGATTAGACCGAGTTAGAGGTAGATGAGGATGCCTCGTATGAAGAAAGACCAGTCCGGGTGTTAGATACTCGGGATCAAGTTTTGAGGGGCAAGACTATTCCATTGGTTAAGGTGCAGTGGTGACACCATGTGGTTGAGGAAGCGACTTGGGAGTGTGAGGTAGAAGTCTGTGAAAAGTATTCGGACCTAAGTGTTTTGGAGATTCGAATTGTAATATTTTGTGCTAGAAGACTCTGTTTTAGACCTGACCCTTTTCATGCTCTTAGATTTGGGATTTTATACCTTTACTTGTTGTTTATGCCCTTATCCTCTTGTTATTAGTTGAGTTTGGTTGTTTAGACCTGTTGGTTGCATTTGAAATAAGTTGGGAGTTAATTTTTCAAAAGAGTTGTTGTCCATTTCATTTCTTGTTCGCTTGAGCGGTGCTTTGGTCGCTTTGCGGTCGTTGAGATCTCTTAGTATTTTTGTAAGTCTGTAAACTTTTGGGAATAGGGTGATCCTTGCTCGAGCAGTCTTTTGTAGGTTTGAACTTTTTAGATGGGTCATTGTGCGCTCGAGCAAAGTTTTGGTCGCTCGAGCGGTGTCACTTATTGTGTTTGATGCTCGAGCAATGGTTTGGTTGCTCGAACGATCTACATGTTTATTAGATCGGGGAGATGCCTTTTTCAGTCACTTTTTTTATCTCTCTTGCCTAAATACCTCAAATATACCCAAATCCTTTGATTTCTCCACCATAGTTCCTTAAAGAAAAATGTAGAGCTCATTGAAAGCTTCGTTTTAATCGAAGAAGATCTTGTTTTAAACTTTGTCAAACTTCAACCCTTGCTTTCTTCCTCTTCTACTCTTAAGGTATGAATTTTTTCAATCTTTGGTATAATTGTTAGCTTCGTTATTTGCTCTTTAAATAGGTTTAGTGATTTGGAAATGTTAGGTTTAAATCTAGATTTTGATTTTGAAATGTAAAAGAGAGATTTTTCAAATGAATTCTTGAGAAAGGTTGTAGGGGTGTGTTGAAATGTTGAAAATTCTTTCCTTAAATGTGATTATTGAAAGTAAAGCAAGTTTTATTAGAAAATCATTGATATTTGATTTATGAAAGAAAATGAAAAGATGTTGGGTTTATGAGGGTAAAATGAATGTATCTGTTGATGATGAGAGTGGAGTTGGATATAGATATTATCGCTTCCATTTTGAAATTTACGAGATTATATCTGTTGTTGAAAAATTATCTATTAAGTGGAAATATCTATTTTGGACTATTGGTGGAGGATAACTTTGGTTGTTGTAGAAATTACATGTGGATTAGGTTAATTGAAACTAATTATTCATACATCTTGCATTGAGTATTGTTTCATACTTAAATATTGAAAATGTATTGTTTTGAAGGGAAAAAAAAAGAAGGTTGTATACACCTTGATAAATCTAGTTAAGGGGTGTGGTTATGGTTTATTATGTTGGCATGTGTGTCTTTTGTGAAAATTTAGAAACTCGCGCGGTTAGGTATTGATACTTTCGGTTAGTATCAGTAAAATGAATTTGGTAGTACTTGTATAGCCTACTGGTAGACACGTACCTAGAGATTTTCAATTTGTTGTATCCACTGTCCTGTTTTCTGATATAAAAGTATATTTTTCATGAATTGATATGATATTGGCATTGCATTATTTTGATATGGAAAAGTACAATATTTGACAAATGGCATGCATGTATATTCACCTTATGACTTTGTTAAGCTTCATACGTTGTGCTCAAGTATCTCTATTGGGTTTTAGCTCACCCTCCGTGAAAAACAACTTTCAGATACTGATGATATGCTTCCACCAAGTACATAGCTTAGAAGGACTTGCAGCCGGGAGTTTCTTTTTGTTTCTTTTGTGTAATGATTTTTATACAAGCCTAGGACTTTATATATATTGAGTTTAACTCATTTTTGTTGTACTCAAGCATTGATTCGGAAAGCTATAGCAATTAAGGCATAAACTTATTTGTACTTCTTCTTGTTCTAATTCATTTACAAACGGCATATGCTATAGATTTAGAATTTAGAATTTATGAATGTATATATGCATATGTTATCTTATGTACAATTAAAAAATATCAATGACACGTTAAATATTTCGCAAGGTATACTTTCTACAGAATATCATGCTATGAGTTGTTATTTTTTGGGGACATTACATAAATCATACATGAAAAATTCAAATCAATTCGATAACCATATCCACATTACTTCATAATGTTTGTTTCCCAAAATATTGATAGTCTACTTTTCAAATAATATTTGTTCATTTTTTTATAAATAAATGTCATGAACAAACATGGTTACAGTTATCGGATCTATCTTTCTTTCTTTTTCATGGATGATTTACATATTATAGTCTTAAAAATAAACGGTTCAGATTCTCAAGACGAGACCGATGGTAGGCACCATGGGACCAAATAGCATGGTGTGAACTGGAGACTTGCAAAACCTATTTTAATTTAGGAGTTTGTGTTAGACTATTTTGTGTAACTTTTACTTACAATTTATTAGACAAAAATAACTTAAATAAGCTGAAAAAATATTAATTATCTTGGAAGAGAAGGGGCTTTCAGCTTCTACTTATGATTACTAACTTTTAACTTATAATAAACTGCACTAAACAAGGTCGGTATAGATGTTTCTCATGAGGTACTACATGTATTCTCCAGAATCAATAGGCCTCCAGAGAGTTGGAGAACTACCTAACAAGTAGAAGGCAAAGCTCTACGGAGCCATCAATCTCTGTGGCAATAACTAACATCACGCAAGCATACAATATAAGGCCATTTTTGAACAACACCATCTAGGCCAATGCAACACAAAACACACATTGCAGGAGTCCAATAGAAAGACGCAACACATCCAACAACACACATACCAACATCATATGCGCTACAATGGACAAATTTCTATTTGAGCGAGGAGGCAAACACAAGGCACATAAGCTGTTTTGCATTTTGAAAATGTGAATAGGTAGTATGATGTAGCCGATTAAAGATATACAGCTCCCACAATTACCAACAAAAAAAAAAATTGTTTGATTTGTTTATTTCCATCGTTGATACGAAGACACAAGCATGTAGTTAAATCTCAAAATTCAACAACCAGAGAGCAAACCTACCCCATCCCCTAATGACTTCTAATATGTGTGTGTGTGTGTGTGAGAGAGAGAGAGAGAGAGAGAGAGAGAAGATTCAATTTGCAAGAAACTTCTACAAAAACTGAAATCAAGTATTTATCCACACATATATCCAATAATTCCATCCTCCAAAGGTTTGCAAGCTTTCTCGAAGAGATGTAGTATATAGCATTGTTGCTCAAGTCTCAAAATAGAGAATACACAGATTTATACGGATAGAAGATCAATGAGACGCTATGTACAAAATACAATTTTCAAAAGACTCAAATATTTTTAAAAATAAGACACGTCCTAGTTTTTCGTACGGCAAAAAGATGGAGGAATGACGAATCAAGGAGAAAATTAAATGATAAAAAAAGGGGCAAAACAACTGGTGTTTCATCCATGAATGATCATTTCAGAGAGACACGGAGCCGCTTTTAAGTTAGAGCTGTACACTTACATTTGTAACCAACAGCAACTCTTATGATCAATTACGGTCAATGACCTCTGCAGGCAAGTTGAGGTCTATCATGCTGCAGCCAATACTGTCCTTTCTAGGACGCTTCCGTGACGAGCATCCACTTTCATCTGAACTCCCGGAGCCTGAAGGTCGCTCAGATGCTGTTTTGATTCCTACAAATAAATACAGGGTGCTTTAGAGAGTCTTAAAAAGACATCTTGAATAAACATCTGTAAGCAAGAATAATTTCCACGTAAAACAAAACAAGGCACTAACAATTTTATTTGTATTGCAAGTTTTAGTGGAAACATATAATCACAAACAAGAAATGGTACAATTCAACTTCTTGATAAAATAAAAATCGGAAAATATTACAATACATCTAGATCTAGAAGCTAGTAGAATACATAAGAGAAATCTCTCAACTACAGTTAGAGGATACTTTTGAAATGCCGTGTGATTAAAATTTATCAATCAAATCAAAAGATATATTTTACATGAACTAAACATGTCAAACTTCATGATACTTAATACCAGAAAGGCAATAAATGGCAAGCCCACAAAATAACTTTGAATAAAATGAAGGTTTCATGAAGATGAGTGGTAACACAATAAACAATAAAGATCATATCGACTCAATACATGGGAAATTAGAAAAAATGCTAGAAACCCACAATTTAGATCCACAAATTTACCTACAACAATGTGACAAGGGAGTTGGGTCCCATATGATTGAGTGTGTAACAAAGCAAAAGTTGACACCTATCAAGCCACATCAATGTGGGCTATGACGCACGGTAAGGGTACGATACGGTAAAATTTTTAAAAAAAATAAGATACGGGTACGGCTTGGTAAGTTTGTAAAAACATATTTATTTTTAATTTGGAGCAATGCAAAAATTAATTAAATAGTTTAATTTATTAAGATCCAATGTAGAATTAACATTTAATGCCTAAAGTAAAGGTATAAATCAAAATTAAATGTCATTTTATTAAATAACTTATAAACTGTAGCTTAATGTTGAAATTATACTAAGTATAAAACTAAAAATAAAAAAGAAGTCTAGTGAAAGGAATTTTATTTCTGTAGTAGAAGAAAATGTTATTTCAACTGAGGTACAGTACGGCTTAGGTATATACTATATGTCAGGGTATACCAAAAATTAAGAAGAAAAAATTTGAGTACGTGTTTCGTATACCTAGTATGTATACAAAAGTACCATACAAAGTAACATACATTAGTAAGTATCCGGTATGGGTACAGTATGTTTATCGAAGTACCCATGCTTTATAAATTGTGGGTCTAACTGGGGAAGCTGTTTTAGGGGTCTCAAAACATTTACCGGAAATTAGAGGCAACACCAAACTGTCTGTTGAGGTGGTGACTCAAAACAGAAAAGTACAATTGTTACAAGGAATTGTATGGTTCCAGTAGTGACAAAAAAATGTGTCGGAATTTTATATATATATATATATATTGCCGCAAATAGAGAGAAGAACAACACAGGATCCAATAGCTGACACCAGATAAACAGTGTTCTGAACTCAATCCAAACACATAACCTGTGACCAACAACCAATATAAAGACCTTAAAGCTTACTGAATCGAAATTTGGGGATCTGATAGTCAATTTCAAGATAGCTTTAAAATGAATTTTATAAGCATAAGTTTGGTATCTATCCATTGCATTAGAAGTCAATCCAACCAATTAGCATCTCTTCCATGAAAAATTATTTTTCATAAGGCGAATGTGTAAGTCGAGGCATTTTACCTTTCATGAGGCAAGGCGTCGAGGCATAAGCATTTCAAATTTTAAATTTTATTATTTAGTAAACAAATTAAATATTTTAAAATGGTGAAAAAATAAATATAAAGGTGTAAATACTTTTCTCCGTAAAGCATCGAACATTTCACTGCAGAGAATGAAACATACCTTCATTAACAGTGAAATTGACATTCTTAGCTCTAGTGATTGAGCTTCTCACTTGAGCATTAACGTAGTATTTTTTTTTCTTAATTGGTCATTTACTTACTTTTTTTCTATAGAATATAGTCACAAAGGGGTTCTTTCTTATTTTTGCTTTTTATCTTTAAACCATCTATCTACTAGACTAAGTTTAACAAGTGCTTAGACAACCTTTTCATATGCGTACTTCTCATATGCTTAAGCGCAAAGGCGTACAAAGTGCACCTAAAGCGCATGACTCAGATTGTGATGAGCAAGACTTTGGGGAGTATAGCCTAAAAGTCAAAGCCTTAATGCATTTTACCTTTGCCTCGAGGCGAGGCGAGCCTCAGTAAAGCCAAATCTGTTTTTCCCCCAATTCTAAATACAAATCTTGACAAATATTCTGACTCTGAATTTGTCCTACCCAGATTTTAACCAATTCAAGTTTGGTCAATTGACCTGAATCTGACTTTCCGCAAATTTTTCCATAAAGTCAGCAAATTTTAAAACCACAGATGCATGCAAGAATTAGATCATGCTATTACTTTTTTGTGATATTTGTTAAATTTTGTACACATGAATGTGCAGAATGCATCAATCAGAGCTTTGTCAACAATCAGAATACCTTGATCCACATATTTTTGCAAAAACATGAAGTATAAAACTTCCCAATTGTACAGTGAATTGGGTCACAATTATATTCTAACTAGCAGAAAATAAGTTCAAAAGAATTTACCATTTATGTGATAATCTGAAGTTGAACATTTTTGAGTGTCAGTGAGTATAGGGTTCCAACAGACAGAAAGTTCAGTTGCCTTCTCGATGCCTTTTGACTGGTATGGAGCTATGCTGTGAATACCAAATTGGAGTGAACCCAACAAATCATTCTCAATGCATTCATACCTGCAAGAAGTTAGGCAAGTGCATGAGTATCAAGAATCTTATTAAGGTTTGTGGCTTTGCCACAGCCAGACTCACATTTTCTTGCAGAGGTTATCAGTGATCACACAGAGATTGATAACGTGCATCCTTATCTCCATGACTTTGTCCTCGTCATACTGATCAAATGGCTCTTCTATAAACTTGGATAGCTTCTCAACATTTGCCTCAAGTTGCTGCTGCTGGTCCTCGAATAGATGTTGCTTTATTTCCCTTTCTTCCATTGTCATCTCATCCTTAAACAAGTCATCTCCAAACATATAAAATGCAAATGGATATGAATATGAAAGGACCCGCCTTGATCTGAAGAGCCTGTAAAGTCCATTAGTAACCCAGCTGAAATCTCTAAGTCTCAAATCCTTCTTCTCCGAGTTCGACACCTTTTCTTTTATAGTCTCCTTCAGATTTGATTCAAGTTTAAAGGAATCCGTATGAGCTTTGTAGCGATTATGATAGTGCATGTAACGATAGAGGTCCCGCTTTGCACGCTCAGCATTCTTCTCTCGATCTTCTTTATAGCGACCACAACTGTGACCATTGATATGCGACCAAGTATGATCGCGGCCAGTGGCTCCACCACAAAGCCAACTACATCAAAAGTAAGACAAAATCATTCAATTTAAACTCCAGAGAAAAAAAAAATCATAATGAGAAAGGCCACATGCTGAATAAAAGGGGGTAAATCTAGCGAGCATGCCAGCCAAGAAAGACTTAGCAACCAAATAAAAAGGAATGCATGTCCTGGATAAAAACAAATGACAGACCAAATATGACCATATACTTCCCACAGTAAGTAATCTATTCAATTGAATCCCATATTCTGCACGAGTACAATAGGAGATAGAGAATAATAAGAGATTAATCAAACAAACTGGATCTCCAAAAACGCAAAAACCAAAGCCTCAAAATATACATGTTAAGGATCTCTACCACTCTTTAATCAGAAGCAACAATGTTGGGAAAAAAAAAGTCTAATTAGAGCCATGTTATAACAGTATCATTTACATCCAGAGTATGATAGCATCTCCATCTCATTTTGCCCGTAAGCATTTGTGTAAGCAGAGCAACAATCCACATATCACTACAAGAATGCAAATTCAAGAAGTTACGCTCATTACTACATCTGCATCCACTAAATCTAACTATATCAAGGTTCAGGAATAAGTGCAAAACATCCATCTCTCACAAAGAAAGAAATCTCAGGCAATTTTCACTTAAGGGTGAGAGCTTTACATTTCTCAATTGAGGATGAGTAACTGAACCTCTTTCATTTCACGTCCACAATATTAACAAATTAAAATAAAATAAAATAAATAAATAAACTAAGAATACAGTAAGAATATTGGTTTCTAACTGGTAGTGCCCCTCTACACGCACAAACAACAAAACCAAACTGTCTTGTGTCCCAATAAAAGATTTTAAAAAAAATGGCTTTCACACACACAACAGAAGAAAGAAAAAACAAGAGAAAAAACTAACTAGAAAATCTCAAGTAAATAGATGAAAAATAAAGAAGTCCAAAGGACTAGAACTGAAATATCATTATGCTGGCACCAAAAAACTAATCTATGAAAAACACAAGGTTCTTTAGCATGATCACAAAGATAGCACCAAATTGCTCAAATGAAACAAAGAAGCCTAGAAAGAAGTCTCACCAAAATGCTTGCCCACAGATGCAGCTCACAAGGTTGCAGCCACCATTCTTCTCCACAGGTTTGTGACACTTTGGACAAGGTTTTGTATGAACTGTAATCCAATTAACTGTTTCTGATTCATCGCGACACTTCTTGGTCCATAGCTCCCACATCAAACATGAACAGGGTGAGTGTGCTACAGCTAAGCAGCTGAAACAGAACTGTAAACCACATGAACATTCAACCTCACAAAATTCATCCTCCTCAACACGTATCGCATTCCCACAATGAGGAGTACTTGGGCACCATTTAACCATTTTATTATCCTCGATATATGACTCAAGAAGAAAACGATCAAATTTCTCAGCTAAATCAGGGTGCTCTTTACTAACAAGATTTCTGACAATAGCTTCATCACAAATAGCATTACATTTGTGTGCCATGCACCTAATACGCTTGCTCTGACCCTCATTTATCTTCACAATAAAATGCCCTGTCCAACCTAAAAGAAAGAAAAATACATAAACATAAATCCCAAATGTAATAACATGTCCAGCATGATAATGAATCACAAATATAAAAATAAATCCCTCAACATCATCTTAAGAACTTCAAATAGTTTGTGAGAGTCCCATTTCCATTTCCAGTGACAAATCCCATTTCCACTATTCCACATAAAGAAAATGAGAGGCTAATATCATCTTCTAAATCTACAAGTTCCGTGTGCCAGTGCATTGAAGAGACCTATAAGCTTCGGTCTCTGATTTTCAAAACTTCATAAGCTATCTATGAGAAAAGAGAGCAAGACAGCCAGCAGACAAAAGAAGAATGCTTACAATTGTTGCAAAAGCTGTGGCCACAGTCCATTTTTGTCACATCATTACAAGGTACATCCTCTATGCAGATATTGCACATTACCGTAGAAGAAGGCGGTGAGTCAAAATCATGATTTCCAACCACAGTCACACCTGCTTCGGCAAACAAGCAAGGTTTCCCCTTCTCCACAAGCACTGCAAACAACTTGTCAACATCCCAGCGGTAATGAATAAGTAGAGTCCGTGCATGGTGTTCTCTTAGAGAAAGCAAGTCCATCACTCTACGCAAATCATCCCTCTACAAAAATGTGCCATAACTAAAAGTTTCAGTCATCCAAAATATAGATGTATTTACAACATCAACATAAAAAGTGGGTGCATTTTCCCTCTTACCTGTGCAGCCAAAAGAGACTCTTTCGTGATTACCTGCAGAAGGCCCAAAAAAATGATTAGAAAACAAAAAAGGAGTACTTGTACAGAAAACTAGAAAATGGGTATTTACTATTAGGTCATGCTAAGGACAGTCCAACATGCTATCAAGAAAAGGAACAAAATGCCAAAAAAGTAAGAATCTCAATGTATTTTTTCCTGTAACCCAAAGTATTTTTACATTTTTACATCTCCGCCAAGGCTATTGACAGCCGAAAAGACTGTTGTTGATGTTTTCCTTCACTGTTTGCAATCCCTAAATCTATAACCAAATTCCATTCTTAATAGACCTTTTCAGTCAAAGTTGATGGTTCGATGCTTATCGTCCTGCTTACTTATAGCACAAATTTCATTACTAACCATGCAATTAACTCTTTAAAATTAGAAAAGAAAGAAAATGAAATAATGAAAAGGTACATTAGCATAATTCTATTAGTTGTTTCCCCTTAAAGGAGGGGTCATCTTCTGCTTGAGAGGCAATCTCCCAAAACAAAAACCGTTCTTTCATAGCCAAAACCAACAAATTACCAATAAATCAATCACTAAAGCCCTAAAATTAACAAAATCAATCTTCAATAGCGTACAATCCATTACTTCACCCCACAGGAAAAGGGAAAAAATAATCATCCAACTTAATAGGGAATGAAATTGAAGAAGCAGCTGACAAAAGAAACAAATATAACAATCATGAGAGACAAATATACGATTGAAAAACCTAAAAAAAAATTTCAAACAGGTATTGGTTTGTACGCATTGATTGAATACCTTACTGGAAGGACCCTTCGTAGGGGCCCACTGGACATCAGACTCTTCGTTTTCGATTCCATCGAGGGAGTCACGACCGGAGTAGCAATAATCTTCTTCACTACTCATACAATCCTCCATAGCCCAAGAACAAAGTGAATACTTTTGTGTATACAAATATATATATATATCAGAATATGTATCTATAGAATTAGTCGATCCCGGTGCGAAATCGGATGGTTCGATCGGGAAAGAGAGAGAGAACAACGATGATTTCCGGCGAGCTTGCCGGCGACAGGAGAGAGAAAATTGGCTAGAGAGAGAAGCGTACGAGACGAAAAGAGTCACTTTTTAGAGAGAGAGAGCGATAGAGAACTTTTTTTCTTGGCGTCTGCGGTGCGAAAAGAAAGAGGGCTCGAGGGAGTGAAAAATCAGGCTGGGATGCGACGTCGTAAGAGAAATTTGGCACAAAAATGGGAAAAGCAAGGACGACGTAAGATGTGTTCCGAATCAAGGTTGTGGTGGTTTGCCCGTGTCACTTTGTTGAGTTTGCTTTCTTGTGGATATAATTGGTTCTGATTTTTTCTTTCCTTTTCATAATTTTGTTTTTATTGGAATAATTTGTCCAAACCTACTTTTTATTTCTACTCTTCATTTTTTAAGGGGTTTTGACGATTTATTCTTGCACACTCCATTTCATAGATTTAAATTTAAATTTTGTTTATCAAAAATTTAAGTATTAAATTACTAAAAAAATTATTTTCATACACTTAATTACCTCAGTACACATCTTTTTTCAGTATACACACTTATTAATTTGATTATTAATAAATTTTCTCAATCCATACACAGAAAATTACAATTATACCCTTCACTCATAATCATTGTACACACCACTCAACTCTCCTTTCCACACACTTATTGAGTGGTCCTGCTTTCAGATTTGTAGACCCACTTAAACACCACAAGACTATAATATGAAGTGAAGACAAAGTTCTCCATTAAAGGCCCTATTGAACCTCCATTAAAAACACCATTCAAAACCCTCTAAAATATTATTAAAGATGAGATATCTTTTCATTTTTTTTTATTACATTTACCATTTCTAGATCTATGTGCACTCCATTGCCATAAAACTCATGTTTTTTTTTTAAAATTTTTTTATATTTTTGGATTTGGGGATTTCAGCATTGATTTTTCAAAATTATACATTTAATTCGAAAATTAATTTTTGAATAAAAGTGATTAGTTTGAAAATTTTGTTTCGAAAAAAAAAGTTGATGTCCAAATATAATAAAATAATTCGGCACTAATTGTCCAATTGAAAACGGCAAAAGGAAAAAAAAAAAGTACTACATGACATTTTCATCACTAATAGAGTATAAATCTAGAGATTAAAGTAATATGAGAGTTGTTATGAGAGTATTGTTTTGCAAGCAATAGAGACGTATAGAATGTGTAGCAAGCAAAGTGACAATAATGTAAAAGTTAAGGTTTAGTTTTTTTTTTTTTTTTGGTGTACATTGATATATATATATACATATATATATATATTAAAAGATATGTACATAAAATATTTTCATATAATATTATTGGTTCTAGTGGATGTCCATTATGGTCATTTTAGTTTAGGGTATATATACTATTAAAATAATATTTCATTAAGGGTGTGCACTGAACTAATTAGGGGTGTGGAAATAGAATTTCTCCTAAATTACTTTGTCCAAAAAAACAAGTTTAGACAAAATAACTAAAATACCTTATATATATCATACACGGTCCCAAAACTCATTTACACAGGCACGATCTCTCTCTCTCTCTATCTATCTCTTTTCACACAGCTTTTGCAGCATTGGAGATGGCGATGCTATTGAGTTCTTCTTTGATGTGCTTCTTGATCTAGATCCGTCGTCGCTGAAGAAGTTGACGATGAAGATGGTTCACTGAAGATGACGATGTCGACGGCGCAGTAGTAAAGAAACATCGTTGTTGCCTCCCTCCGTCATTGCAACCATTGAGAACACCCAACAACTCCCTGTTTGTCTACTACTACCACAACTAAAAAAGAATGCGATGGTTACTACACAGATTGCTCAATTCCTTTATATTTGTGTTTAATCCAAGTTTAGTTACTACATAACATCTCTATTTTTTATTGAACTAAAGTTTAATCCTAATATTTTATTAATTTATGATTGAAGAATGCTTCTTTGGGAGGATGGAAAGCCATGTGGCTTTATAAAAACTGTAAATCATAGTATAAGACGCAGCGGATGATTAATTTCAAAGTCATACCTTTAAGTAGAGTCTGAAGTGAAGAATCTCGTGGGTAACTCACGTGCTTCCAGAAAGTGAACAACCAACCCAACAGTAGAGTGATATTACAAAATGAATATCACCCACACAAATCACAGTGCAAAATGGCTTGATCGTTGTTTTTTTGGGAGAGAGTCAGTATATGGGAAAAACATAAAGCATACGTTGTTTTTCTGATTAACCATATCCCATATCATATCAGATATATAAGATATCTATATCATCTATCCATATCAGTTGATATGATAGATACAGATATCCTAAGTGGTTATCCAAATAGGTTTTGAATTCAAATTCAAACTTATTTGGATAAGGTTCAAAGGGTCATGCCACATGGGTGCCCAATTTCTAACATCTCTCACTCACACATGAGTTGGCATGACACTGCCACATCTCTATCTCAATCTCCCCAAACATGAACAATCTCATACTAGCCAATGCACCGTGCGACCGCTGAGAACACTTGCATGTGGGAGCTCTATACTAGAAACTCAATATGAGTCAACATAGAGACATCAACCCAAAATGAACAGAAATAGTGTCTCATGTACCCAGACCCATCTAGCTACATCAGTCCAAAAACATCTCTAATCCCTCAAAGAGCATGTTTGACTCTCCTAGGTCCCGCATTATATTCACACCCAATCAGCATCCTATAAAGAGCGATGTGAGTTGTCGACAGTGAATATAAAGCAGAGATGTAGAACTAGATGATCTTCCATCACCCTCATATCATTCAATTTGAAATTGACCACTTTCCCAGTAATGCCCCTTAAAGTCGAATCATACATGACCGCAGGCAACATACCAAAGTAACTGAACATCAACTCCTCATCTTATGACATAGTCAAAGGTCACAAAAGGCACAGAGTGAAGTCATTTAGGAAAAAAATGACTTTTAGGACTCACACGGTGAAGAAGCAGGGATCCATTCTTTCACCTCGCTAATGGGTCGATAAGTACATGCAGTACGAATACATGTTATAGTGGAGTAACTCTTCCAAAGAGTGATGTTAAACTTACACACCATACAGATCTTAGTCTAGTCGCTCTTAAGCGCACAAGTCGCTTCTTAGTGTCTAACTTGAATTCTCTATTTGCTCGTCCCTCAGGCATCAAATGAGATCTCGCATCTGGCTATCCATAACAGGCACATCATGGAAAAGTGGGTACTCTCATATCCATGGTCGGGCTCTAACAAGACCTCATCTTGGCTCCAACCAAGGCGACATAGCTAGTGAATAATTTTGGCTTCTCTATTTGCTCCAAATGCAATAAGCCACTAGTCTCATCCTTACACGCTACCTAGCGCTAAGGGCGATTGCTCGTGTGAATGAGCCAATCTTGCCTGCTAACATCAATTTAATTATTTTGTGTATGCTAATTCACAAACCATTGCAAAAAGTAGTAAACATAAATGTGTAATAGAAACAAATATGAATACTAATGGCATAAATATCCCCAAAAAAATGAGTTCAACTGAATACACATAAATATATCACCACTTACGTAGTCCCAAAGCCCTAACATGAGTAAGATAAACATCTCTAGCAATGGGCTTAGTCAAAGGGTCCGCAACCATTCGACTCGTAGGGATGTGCTCCAGGATCACTTCTTTCTGCGCCACAATGTCTCTGATAAAGTTGAACCTCACATCAATGTGTTTGGTTCTGCCGTGGTATTTAGGATCCTTAGCGTAAGCGAGTGCAGCCATGCTGTCACAATGGATAGTCACAGGGTCTGAAGTATGTGTGACAACATCCAAATGCTGAAGGAATCTCCTCAACTAAACGGCTTCCTGAACGGCAGATGAATAAGCCACAAACTCAGCCTTCATAGTCGATAAGGCGATATAAGATTGCTTCTTACTGCTCCAAGAAATAGCACCATCGCTAAGCAAGAAAACATATCTTGAAGTAGACTTACGCTCATCTAAGTCTCCTCTCCAGTCAGCATCACAATAGCCAACTAGATGTAGATCTGAACTTTGGTAGCAAAGTGTGTAATCTACAGTCCCTCTAAGATATCGTAATATCCTCTTAACTGCTTTCCAATGAGCTGGTCCTGGGTTGGATTGGTAACGACTCACCAATCCGACTGCATAACAAATGTCAAGACGCGTACACATCATAGCATACGTCAAGCTTCCAACAGCATTTGCATAGGGAACACGGGCCATCTCTTCATTCTTTTCTTGAGTCTTAGGACCCATATCAAGGCTTAGGCTCTCGCCTTTCGCAATAGGAGTGTCAATGGGTTTGCAGCTCTGCATCTGGAATCGCTCTAGGATAATCTTAATGTAAGTCTCTTGAGACAAAACCAAGAAGTCTCCTAGAGCGATCCCTAAGGATCTTAACAGCGAGCACATAGCTCGCCTCATCCATGTCCTTCATCTCAAATGTAGAGAACAACCACATTTTGGTGGCGACAATCATCTCCTTGTCATTTACAGCCAATAATATGTCATCTATATATAATGACAACATCAGAAAAATGTCATTGGACCGCTTAACGTCCACACAGTGATCTTTATCAATCATCGTAAACCCATTAGAAACAATGGCTCGATGAAATCTCAGATTCCACTGTCTGGATGATTGTTTTAAGCCATAAATAGATCGTTGAAGCTTGCAAACTTTGCGCTCCTGACCTATTGCCACAAAGCCTTCTGGTTGATCCATATAGATCTCTTCATCCAATTCTCCATTAAGAAATGCAGTCTTAACGTCCATCTGATATAGCTCTAAGTCCAACTGAGCTACTATGGCCAGGATTAGGCGAATAGAGGCAAACCTTACAACTGGTGAAAAAGTTTCCTCATAGTCCACACCCTTTCGTTGGGTGTAACCTTTCGCCACTAGGCGAGCCTTATACCTTTCTATGGAACCATCCGCTTTGCGCTTGATTTTGAGAACCTATTTGTTCCCAATAGTCTTGCGCCCTGGCGGCAAATCAACCAAGTTCCAAACATGATTTTTCTTCAAAGACTCTATTTCTTCATTCATTGCAGTACTCCATTCTTTACTAGCAGGGGATGAGAGAGCCTCTTTGAGATTCTTAGGCTCCATCTCATCACTCGGAACAATCATGAATGCTTCCCCTTCAATCTCAAAAACGACGACGGGGTATAGCTCCACGTTTACTTCTACGTAGTTGAGAATCCTGAGAATCCTCATCCATTGGATCTAATCCATGGGCA